CCACCCATCAATACCAACAAATGTAGCTCGTAACAGATGCAGAATTGTGTGCCTTTTCCGGAAGCGAAGCAGCGACGGCTACTACCGTGAGAGAGTAGATCTACAAATCTTGCGCCACGCGACATCCGAGCACCCGCGAACGGTGTCCGACGTGGGGACGGAAATGCGCCAGATGTGGAAAAAGGAAGGAGTTTGCCCGCTGCTGACAATCAACAAATGTGAGTGTGGTCGTTCGTGACAAGTCCCCAGTAGATGCAGAACATTCAATTGGCAACGTGTCTCGGAGAGTACCGCAAAAATGTGTTTATGCAAGTCTTTGGATTGAAGGTAAAGCCTACCATTCCAGTCAGACACAGGTGCTAGTGTAAAAATTCTACCAAGGAAGGACTGTCCCGGAGTGTGCATTCGATCCGATCAAGATTACTTGCATGTGTGGAATGGTTCCAAACTTCATCCGAATGGCTCAGGTACAATCGAAGTGGTTAACCCAAGAGACGGAGCCTCACATCGACTGGAGTTTGTGATCGTGGAGGAGGAGCTCACGTATTCCTCGGCATTGATTCGATCCAGTCTCACGGTTTTGTTGTTTTTAATCATAATCGTGTTGTGCATATTTGCTAGGAAGAAACCTATATTAGTAACCAGTAACCGTATGTGTTCAGCCCTGGTTTGGGAAAATTTGAGGGAACCGCTCACCTGTCCTTAGATCCTTTGATACGACCGACAGCACTACCTGCTAGGAGAGTCCCATTTGCACTGCGTGACAGGTTCTTCGCTGAATTAAGCAAACTAGTGAGAGGGTGTGATTGCCAAAGTTGACCAGCCAACAGACTGGGTTAGTCAGGTCGCAATCATTACGAAGAAGATGAGTGAACTGCGTGTTTGTATAAACCGAAAACCGTTGAATGAGTCTTTGCGTAGAGAGCATTACACTCTACCTAGCCTAGAAGACATTCTGCCGCGTTTGGTCAAAGCTAAGTGTTCCACGAAGGTAGACCTATCTTCGGCACTCTGACACGTGGTTCTAGATGATGAATCCAGTTTCAGTACTACCTATGCAACACCGTTCGGGCGTTATCGTTGGCTGCGTTTACCGTTTGGCTTGAAGGTGACATGTGAAAATTTTCGAAAGCGATTGGTGCAAGTGGTAGACGATTTAGATGATGGAACATGCGTGGCAGACGATGTAATGATCTATGGCTCGACAGAAAAGCATGACGCTAATCTCCACCGTTTCTTATGGCGTTGTGTGCAAAAGAACATCAAGCTGAAACTGGAAAATATTGAAGTTGGAAAACGAAGTGATTTTCCATAGGCATTTGCTAACAACACAACGGGTCAGGGTTTATCCAGAAAAAACTAAGGCAATTCGATTGACGCCGCCTCTTAATGACGTGAAGGGAATCCATCGCTTAAACGGTGTGGTGAATTACTTGAGCCGTTTTATGCCAAGACTCGCTGATATCATGACGCCGATCAGGAAGTTAACTCTCAAAGGAGTAAAGTGGAGTTGGGGAAAAGAACAGAAAAGCGCATTCGAAACTATTAAGCACCCCATCAGCAACGCGCTTGTACTAAGATATTTTGATCCACGCGGGCTTTGAAGGTAGAGTGTGACAGTAGCCAAGACGGAATGGGAGCTGCTCTCTTATAGAATGGAAAACTTTTGGATTTCCGCAATCGAACACTCACGGCGACCGAGCAGTGATATGCGCAGATTGAGAAGAAGATGCTTGCGGTAGCCTATGCCATGGAGGGTTTCAACGACTAGACATTCGGAAGAGAGACAACGTTGTATCCCCATCACAAGCCGCTTGTGTCAGGAGCCAGGAAACCGCTGCACGTCGTTCCTCGTCGCCTTCAGCGTATGCTTATCCGGCTTCAAAAGTACGACGTGGATATTGCGTACAGATGTTCATAGCTGGATACCTTGTCAAGTGCCCATCTGCGGGTACCCGAACATAATCCTAAATACATCCAAGCAGTAAACCTAGCACAGTACCAGGTAGACAGAAGATCGCCTAAAGCAAATAAGGCAGCACACAGAGGAAGGTGCAACGCTTTCAGCTTTGCGAGACGTTATTCTAAATGGGTGGCCAGAGACAAAGAAGCTGCTGCCGAAGGTATTAACATCCTACTTCGGGATGAACTCTTTGTCTATGATGGTTTGCTGTTCCAGTGAAGCCGTATTCTGATTCTGTTATCGCTCCGGGAAGAAATGCTGAAATCCGTTCATCGCGCTCACCTGGGTGCCAACTATACCATTAGCCGAGAAAGAAAATTAATCTTTTGGCAAAGAATGACGGGTCAACTAAAAGAGCATGTATCGAATTGTGAGACCGTTCAAACGAAATCAGGCAGGCGAGGGAACCAATGATGCTGCATGATGTCCCTGACCAACCGTGGAAAAACGTGGAGGTGAATTTATTCAGTGATAACGGGAAAGATTATTTACTCACGGTGGATTACTAGAGTGATTATTTTGAAATCGATCTAATCAACGCTACGAGCAAAGAGGCAGTAATCAACAAGCTCAGATGTCAGTTCGCGAGGCACGGTATACCGGAGGAGCTGGTCTCCGACAATGGGCCCCAGTTTATCAGCGGTGCGTTCCAGGCGTTCGTAAATAAGTAAAAATTCGTGCACCAGCAAACCAGCCTATATCACAGTCAACCGAATCGAAAGGCGTTGGCAGTGAAGCAGGCCAAACGACGGTTATCAAAGGCTAAAGCAACTGGTGAGGACCCGTACCTCATGGTACTGGAGAATCGCAACACTACTTCAAGGAATATTGGTTTGAGCCCAGTGCAGCGCCTATACAGCCGAAGAACTCTGATACCGGCACCTGCCACACTTTTGCGGCCAGTTTCGCCAAAGCACGAACGATTACAGAACAATCTGAGAGGATGAATGACCACTCAGAAACAGTACTATGACCGCGGTGCACGTGTACTACCTGAGGTAACAGTGGGGGAGGAAGTATGGATTCAACCATTACCCGATAGTCAAGAGCAGTGGAAGAAAGGTGTTGTGACTGCTAGGGTCGGTGTCAGGTCATACGAACTAAACGTTGGAGGGAAAACGTTCAGAAGAAATTGAATGAATTTGAGACGACACCGGAAACAACGAGGTGGAGTGGCAGGTGGCGAAGGCCAAGGAGGCCACTGCCGCAGATACAGCGAAGACGACGCGGAGTGGCAATTTGTACGGGGTGGATAGCAATATGGAGGCGCAGTAGCACGAAAAATGGGAGGATATGATGGTAATATCAGATCAGAGTGAGCAGATGAACCGAGCGAGCCAGACGGCTGATGAGAGGCAGACGTGACGGATTCGATTACTGGACTCGGATTGGCCGATATTCGTGTGAGTGATTCACCGTTTGTTTAACGGAAGCAAAGGAGGAACCTCATCGACTCAGAAGGGTCGTTAGTTATGGACTTGAACCTGAAATTTATATCGAGGAGTTTGGCTTGCTAAACATGCTGTAATTTTCGCTGAGATGTCTTCGCCGAATAAACGGTTGTCCCTGAAGGGCTCAGTTCTGCAACAGGTAGAAGGCTATGAGTGTCAGTGCATGGAATCAGGTTACCACAATTGGATATTTTCAAGCATGAAGAAAGGGTTGGTATAATTTGGCGTGGTGGGAAACCGGGTGATTGGCTCTGTGACAAGGTTAACTCTACATAGCAAAAACGCAATTTACCGATTGATAGCTTAATAAAAGTACACAATCATAATGTTGTGGTGTTTTTGAGCAGCTGAGGAGTTCAAGATTGTAGAGCTCAGGGTTGAAGAGGGAGGCAGCAAAAGTATGTGGCAGTTATTAATCGCAGGGTGTCTCAGTCATGTATGTTAAGCCTGCTATGTTGCATGCGCATCGAGGCCGAAGCAATATAATACGGAAAAACGTATGATATGAAGCGAAGAATGAAGTTCTAATCAGTATAGAACTCTGGTTCGGACCCCAGTTACCATGAAAAGAGCACTAATCGAGACAACCTGTAGCGGAAGATGGCCTTTAAAAGAGGCGATTACTTTTGCAAGGGATCGGAACAATCACATGCTATTGTTGGATGAGTGGCGTGAGAATGCGTACCGACCGCAGCAGTTGAGTCACGTAACAGGCTATCCCATAAAAGTGTAGGAACACAAAAGTTGGCCAACAGTCGTTCACATGTAAGAGGAGTAAGGAAAAAAACGAGGTGTCACAGAAATGGGGGGTGCACTCAATGGAAAAACTAAAATGGGCTTCGTAGTCCCTATACCGTAGCAGGTAACAGATTCCAACTTCAAACAGGGCCAAGGAGATGGACCGGGTAGTTACGTTTATTGACATTTAGAATCGGTATGGAATATGTTAATAATGTCCCAACGAGACTGGACTTTAACCTGGTGCGACGGTTTGCGTACTACCTTGACCCATTGTTATACTGGGTGGTGCCTCCGGGCACCTTGACAGCTACTCCTACCAGGCTGCTTAATGGTGACAGGTCAGACAAACTCAGTCTCCCGGTCCTCCAGGTTGGGGGTTTGAAATGGCATGGCGTCCATTTCTGTAAAACTAAATCATTGCCACATCCCCCTACCTTGCGGACAGGCTTTTGCACCAAAGGCTTTGGATGAGGACCATAATCGTCTCCTGTCTAGGCCTAGGCGCCCTGGCAGTATCTCAGCCCACACACAACCATGATATTTTCTTCAAACATAAACTTCGTCCTACATCGGCCGTCGCGCAGCTTATCAAGGGGCGCCTTATCTGCTGCATACAGCAGGGCGGATAAGCGAAAATATGCTACTGCTGGTGCCTCCTTTCTTTTCTACCTGTTTTTCCTACTTCCCTCCCAACGCCCATTACTAACCTTCCTTCTGTAATTCCCGGTTTAATCGGCAGCAACCGAAGTGCCACTGGAGTGGAACCATCTGCAGCCACCATTCCACCGCAGCTATCGGACGCCCATCGACAAAAGTCCCTAATAAGGCCAAGCTATCCTGTTTCCATGGGGACATTCAACGTCCGCACTCTAAGACAAACAGGTCAACAGGCTGCACTCGCACGCACCTTGGACACACTGGGTATTGATGTGTGTTGCGTGTCCGACACCAGGATCAATGACCCTAACGGGGTTATTGAATTAACTGCACCCGACTTATCCTCTCGTTATTGGTTGCGAGCATCCGGAGACGCCGATGCAGCACTCATGGGTCAAGCTGGTGTAGGTACCATTCTTATCTCCAAGGCTGTGACATCGTTGGTGGAGTGGATTCCGATGAACAGCCGTTTATGTGCAGCCCTTTTGACTACATCAGCTAAGGTTGATTCACGAAGTAGTACAAAACGGTGTTTGTTTGTGATTTCCGCTTATGCTCCCACCGACTGCAGTTCTAATCATGAACTGAACGCGCTACTACGCAGTGCTACTAGTTGAGATAGCATAATAGCTGCGGTGGATATGAACACACAAGTGGGGCGTCTGAGCTCTTCAGAAGCTCAGCTGGGTGGTAATTGTGGGATTAACTCCGAACGGACTAATAACGGTGAGTGTCTGCTGCAACTGTGTGCGGAGCACCAGTTGTTTCTTAGTAGCACTGCTTTTAGACACAGTGGGCGCCGAAGTGCCACTTGGCGTCCTTCGGAAGCTGGCCAGCGATGGACCCATATTGACCACATAGCCATAAGTTACAGGCGGCGTGGTTCCATTCTGGATTGCCGCTCATACCGGAGTACCTGTATCGACTCTGATCATGCCTTGGTACGCTCTCGTTTCTTCATGAACTTTACCGGGAGGCGCAACAAGGGTCCCCTACGATTGGCAACGGAGAAATTGTCTCAGTCATCGGTCAGACAAGCCTATCAAGACGTACTGCGTACCGAACATTCGCTGTCTTGTCCTAATTACACTGAGTTCAGTGGAATAGAATCTCGGACGCCATGCACGACGCAGGAGCATCTGCCTGTGACACCATCCATCGTCACCGCACAAGTCACTGGATATCTGAGAGGTCGGTGAACCCGTTGAAATCTAGAAGGCGCTTCTCGGCTGGCTCTGAGCACAATGTGACCAGACTGGCTATTAGGCGTGAACTAAAGCGGAGCCTACGTGCTGACAAGGAAGCCTGGTGGACCAGTCGGGCTCAAGAAATGAAGGAAGCAGGAGAAGTAGGCAATTACCGCAAGCTCTTCCAGTTGATCAGCACCACTGGTCCCAGAAAACCGGGCGTCAGTGAGACAATCAGAGACAGCGCGGGTGTGCTCATACACAATAAGGAGCGCCGTATGGCTCGTTGGGTGGAACATTTTCAAGATCAGTTCAGCTGGCCCCCTGCTCCCCGGCATCTTCCTACTCAGGTGATGCAGGACGAGCCATGGACGGTTAGTTTAGAGCCTCCGTCGGAGGTCGAGGTCCGAAACGTACTCACAGCACTTAATCGTTTTCGTGCCGCTGGCCCGGATTCCCTCCCACCTGCACTATTTAAGGATGGAGGTGAGTTCATCTGCAAAGCACTGACCTCCTTATTCGAATGTAACGGGAAGGAAGAGTGTCCCGGCTAATTGGAGCGAATCAATTATAGTAGTAATATACAAGAAGAGCAGCTGCACAGACTGTTCTAACCACAGGCGTATGAGCCTAACACCAGTTTTGCCAAAATTATTGGCCTCGATTATCGTTCGTCGAATCACTGCGGAACAGCAATCTTGGATTAGGGAGGAGCAGGTCAGTTTCCATCCAGGAAGTGGCTGTATAGACCATATATTCACTTTGCGGCAGGTGCTTGAGCAGCGCCACGCAAACCGCAGACCAACAATAGCTATGTTCCTCGATTTCAAGAGTGCGTTCGATTCAGTCGATCGATCGGTTCTGTTCGAAATACTTGCGCAGAATGGTGTTCCCACGAAATATGTGAACATCTTTCGTGCTCTATACTCGAACACTACAGACCGCGTCAGGGTCTACAGTGACCTATCTGATAGGTTTCCGACCACAAGTGGCGTTCGTCAGGGTTGTCCGATTTCCCCATTTTTGTTCAATTTCATCGTGGATTCTATCATGGAGTGTTCCCTTGCGGAATCTCATGATGTAGACATTGAAGTGCTGCATGTTGAAAGGTTGGTTGATCTAAATTATGCGGACGATATCGTCTTGCTTTTCGACGATATTGCGGCGGCGTAATCAACCCTGAATAGCTTGTCTAGTGGTCCCAGTATTTGGTATGCACTTCGCACCTTCAAAGTGCAAAGTGTTGCTGCAGGACCACCAGCCACTTGATGACCCCTTGACGCTAGGGAACGATGAACTCGAGGTGGTTGATCATTCCACTTATCTTGACAGTTGCATCAGCAATGATGGGCGCATAGAAACTGACGTCAGCTCACGCATTGCAAAAGCCAGAGCTACCTTCTTGAACCCGCGGCATCTTTGGCGACAGAAGGGAGTTTCTCTACGTCTGAAAGACCGGGTATACAAGGCCACAGTGAGAGTCGTTCTGCTGTATGGTAGTGAGACTTGGCCTCTTTGGTCTGAAGATCTGAGGCGCCTTCAAGTCTTTGATTATCGTTGTCTGCGAAGCACTGTTGGTGTTGGATGGCCCTAACGTGTCCGCAACGATGATGTGCGTAGGCGAATATTAAGTAGTGATAATCATGCTAGCTCCCTAGAACAACAGATAGCACTGGATGAGTTGTGTTGGCTCGGGCACGTGTTGCGTATGCCTGGTCACCGCTTACCCAAGAGGGCTTTGTCTACTCTACCAGGTGTAGGATGGCGCAAAGCTCGATGTGGAGTGACGTTGAATTGGCAGCGGGAAATAAAGTCACTGACGACCATACTGGGTGACGTTGGTCCGACTCACCTACCAAACTGGAGTCCACGTGACTCGCCTTGTGCTTGGCTCGAGACTTCACAGGACATTGTTGCAGTAGACACCAGTGGCGTGTCTGCTACCGTCTTATAATTGGATTGCTTGTTTAAAGTGCGTTTGTTGCTGAATTATCTGCGGGGTAATGGCTGATTATGACGCGTGGCAGTGAAAGCCGCAAGGAAGCTGTCTCGCCGATGCCGCCTTATCTTTGCAAGATAGCCAGCTGTTTGTGATGGTATGTTGTCTCCACAAGGTGTAGGCGCCTTGACTCTGAATGTATGCTTAGGGCATTAAGGTTTTCAGGTAAGTCCCCCTTCTCTCCCACTTATTATTCTTTATTTCATAGGTCCTCATGGTTGTATGGCAGTGAAGCATCAGTTCAAATGGTTGATGTACTGCTGCTGATGATGATGGAGGAGATGAGAAATTCCAAAAGGCTCTGAAAATATGGTATACCACTGATACTTTCTACATCGCTCGTTGGAATGCAACTAGCGTGGGCTTGAGCAGTTTGCTTAAGCTATAGGCAACTTCCGTCATTATGCAACGAAGACTACATAACTCCAAAAAGGAACGATATGCTCACGGGGACCCGTGTGGGGACTCAGACCAAGGAAAGACTTCACGGATGGTATCGTACATCTCAGTGTAGTAGTCCCGAAGCTTGACCGACAACCACATGTGTCAATCCAACCAGAATCATTGAACTGTTGACTATTTGCATGTCGCTAAAATCAAGCGAACATGTGAGATATCAGCAAAAGTCCTTCTTACTAGGCCGTATAAAAGGCAGTAGTTTCGTATCGACAGAATTGGCGTTATACAGTGCATTCGTACTATTTTGATTGACCTAAAAGCGTCACCTGGTAAGAGTACCAAGTGAACGTATCAGCAGTATGGCAGTACGCAGTACCGAGGCTTCGCTGCAGCGCAAACACCAACAGTCGCACTTGGGCTAAGGATACTGCGAAGGTCGCCCGGTCCCCTACGCAGGCTCGAACCGGCGCCTTCGAATTACAGAGCAGGCCTGTGACCATTTAGACTACAGACCAGGGGTGAAGTTGAATGAAACATTGATCATTCTGTGAATTCCTATCTTCTATGCAATACCCTAAAGCTTAGAAATTGAGGTAGGGTATTGTGGCAACTACTAATTATTTTGTAAGTAATCAGTAGTTGCCTCAGCAGCATACTTGCCACCTCAATTGGTGGCGGCTTGCAAAGGAAATCGTTGCTCTGGGAGCCAACCCTGTCCTCTGCACATTATAACATGCAAGACAGTGGAGGATGAGCCGCGCTATATCGCAGTTAGATATCGGTCATGGCGGTCCGCTGCTGTCTCCCATGGCTCAGTGACAAGTCGCTGACTCGCAAGAGTAAAGTCGTAGGGTCGAATTCAGCAAGATTAGGCGGGTGCGCGCTACTAACGAGTCCCAATAGAACGAAACGGCCGTCTAGCGCTTTCCTGGAGGTGTGGTGGCTGTCTGTCTGTGTCTAACTGCGACGAATCTACACAAAAACCTAATAAATCCCCCTACTACTTACAAAACAAAGTCTTGGTTGTGTTGAGGGTGAGTCCGAATTTGGCCGTTATCGAAGCGAGAACCGTCGTCATGCGCTGCAACTCATCCGCACTGTGGGTAAACAACACGCAGTCGTCGGCAAACAGTAACATACAAATGGCTGTCCCACGTATTCGGGTCCTCGACGCCGAAACGATTGATGTTCAGTAGCCCACCATCAATACGTTGCTTCATAGATACACCGCCATCACAAAGTTTAGGTGAACCTCAAACAGAGCAGGGGATAAGATACAGCCTTGCTTCATACCACAGATAAAATCACAGTTATAGGAGGTTTGTCCCCTCAGCTGCACTCTTGCACGCCTACCACTGTACATACGTTCAATTAGACGTACAAACTTATTCGGACAACCGAATTGACGCAACACAGTGACTCATGGTTCACTGGGTCAAAAGCTTTGGTGATGTCGACAACGGCTGGTGTAGCTCTCGGCATTTTTCTTGCAGTTTACGAACCGCGAACACCACATATACAATGCAGAGGCCATAACGGAATAAGTCTCTCACTTCCGCCACCTGCGATTCAACGACCTGAGTGCCGAGGCGCTTGAGCAGGATACTTGTGATCAATTTAAAGACAGAACTCAGCAAGTTGATACCAAAATAATTCGTGGCACATTGCTTCCTTTGCCTTCGTACAGTGGTAGCACAAGGGCACTTCCTCTTCATAACACGCGCATCGCATCATATGATGCAGCGCATGCATCAATGCAGGTCCGCCGTGTTTCAACACTTCTGGCGGTATCCCGTCGCCTCCTGTGAATTTGCCGACTTGCAGATGACTAAACACTCTCTGCGACTCACGCCATGTCGGCTAGATACATCTTCCTCTCTCGTTGTTGCAGCCAGTGAAAAGTAGATCAAGCAATCACCGAACGGCTGTACAAGACAGTCGAGGTGCTGGCGCCATATCAATTATGAATGCAATCTGTCTGAACGGAGCACCCGAAGTACCACTCACCAGCATCCTCAGTGACTGTAAAGTAGATGCATACACAGCCTTCAGGGAATCAAAGAATTCATTATGTTTGCGGCGTTCGGCCACGCATACTCCATCCACCATGCATTATTTATGCAACGGAGCTCCCGAGTCAATCGCCGACGTATCTCGTGAAAGTGATTCTCCTTCTCGAAGTAGGCAGGGTCCTCCACATGTACAGCAAATGCTGTATTCTTCACCGACACTAAAGCACTGGTGTCATCAAACCAATCGAGCCACTTAAAATTTGCGCGCTGAATGGCTTCCTCGGTCATAGCCGTCAACTGTTCACGGATGTGGCACCACAAGTCGCCGACTGATGCGATGCAATCAATATCGTTAATGCGGGTAGCCGTCGCTTTCTCCAGTTCCACCCACTTCTCAACAGTTCCTAGGGAATGAACATTAGACTTGAGCAGGTTCGCAGCAGGAGAGCAAAATATATGGAGACTGAGACTGAATTTAAGAGTTAGTAGAAAGGTTTCTGTACAACGCTATCGAATTATGTAAAATCAGAAAGATTTAATTGCGAATCGTCAGTGGTAGTGTTTGGTCGGTTAACCGTTTCTCCTTGTTCGGTTAGGAATTTGTATTAGTGTCATTATTTCCGGGCATACAATGTCTTATTTTGCATTGTATGTGCACCGTTTCGTGAAAGCACAGGTTTTCGGAATAATCGTTGATATATGTCGTAAAACACATCACAGAATCGGCCTACATTAATCCTTCTGGTAGTGTATTCCATAAGTTTACGTTTCTTCGTTCTATGAAAAGTTGATGTGATACCTTGTTCATGCATGGGACCTTGAGTTTGGAACGGTGTCCTCGGGTGTTACAGGGTCCCCGCAGGTGAAATATTGGCCGTAGTATGGGGAAGTGATTCAAGTGTAGTACTCGGTGGGTCATAATAAGGTCAATTCTTATTCGGCGGTAGGATAGTGTGTAGAGCAAGAGCCTTTCACAAGATTTTCCATACGGAAGCTTTCGTATACTCGGTATCATTCTAATTGCGATATGCTGTAGTTTCTCCAGCTTTTCAGTTTCCCACTGGGTTATCGGATGGTAAGCTGGGGCACCGTATTCAAGGATTGGTCTAATGAGCGAGGTGAATAGACGAGGGACGGTTTCTTCCGATCATGTGGAAAAACTGCGTCGTAATGCGCAGAGCATATGAAGTTCCGCACGGTACAATTTCTCTGTATTTTCTAGTGATCTCATATCATGTCGCGAGAGCACGCCTACGTTTCTGACAGATGTGTTAGGGTGGAGCAACTGGTCGTCCAAGGTGTATGATCGAGTGCCTGCACGTCTGGTGATACTGATGGACTCCGACTTGCTTGCGTTAAGAGGAAGTTGCATTTCAGTGAACCACGTTGACAGTCGGTCTAAGTCATGCTGGAGTCCAGCGCAGTCGTTCTCACTGATCCTCCAGATTATCAAATCATCTGCAAACAAGGTACATGGTGACCAGAGATGCTGCGGAAGATCGTTGATATGAATAAGAAATATTACTGGCCCAAGTACAGTTCCTTGAGGCACGCCACTGGCCGATGGGTAGTCACTGACCTGCACTCTAACCTTTCGTTCCACAATAAACTCGTGTAACCACTGAAGTAGCGTGCCACCGATTCCGTAGGTCCTCCGTTTACGAAGAAGCACCTCGTGGTTCACTTAGTCAAACGCCTTACTTACGTCGATGTACACCACGTCAACATCCTTCCGTTCGTTGAGAGTTGGTATCCACTGGTGG